TGGAGTGGCCGCTCCAGGGCAGGAAGGAGCGGGCAGTGACGGAGACCCTCCACCAGAGCGCGGAGCTGCGGCGCCTGGATTTTGCGTGAGTTCTCCGCCCTAGGATTGGGGGCGGGCAGTCGCGGAGACTCGTCCCCAGGGAGACGCGAAGGGAGGAGATACAGGCAGGCACCGAGGGGGGAGCCATGCACTAACTTCTCTTTCCCATCCTCACCTCCCTCTTTCCCATCCTCACCTCCCCCCCCCTCCCTAGCCCCTCCCACCTCCCGTTTCCGCACGTAAGTCCCACTCTCGCCCGTCACTCAGTACACGTCCCACCCATCTGTCCCCACTGCACCCCATGCTCACCCCATTATCCTCACTCCACACCTTCCCCAGGCCCTCTTCCGGACTTTCCACTCAACACCGCGCTCCTCTACCCCCCCATCACTGGTCCCACTCACAGGGGTTCCCATTCCTCTAACCAACTCCAGTCCTACCCATTCCTCTTCCCACAGCCTCATCCCTACCCTGGATGGAAGTGTCCCAGCCGCAGGGACCACAGAAAGCTAGCGTCCCTTGAGCTCCAGTGTTCCGGATGAGGACTGAGGTTCAGAGGAGAGGACTCCTCTCCAGGGCTTCATGGTGTCCTGAATCTCACCGCCCTCTTTCCAGGTCTATACCTGCTCTTCCTTATAACCTGGGACTCTGGTGATTCCACAGTGCTCACTGCTCAGATACCACCAGGTGGCCCTCCAAGCAGTCTCTCCATGGCAAAATAAAATAACCCAAACTAAAGACTGCTTCCCAACCCCTGCTGGGTTGGACTCTGGTCTACTTTTCAAGAGAAATGGTGTTCTCTTGCCTTCCAGGATTTGCTTGTTCTTCTGGGGTCCTCTTACCCCTTCAACGCACGGACACGAGGCCCTGTCTCCAACAGTTCACTTAGGGACACCAAGTCTTCTTTTCTAAAAATAAAGATTATTTTTTAAGTTTTGCTAGAAAATACTTGTGCTTGCAGGGGAGAGAGAGAGAGAGAGAGAGAGAGAGAGAGAGAGAGAACCTTGCCACAGTTCACAGTTCCTTCTCCTTTATTTTCTTGGGATTTTATACACACGCGCATATGCTCCCAGCATGATTTTCAGGCTGCTGGGTATGGGGCTCCTACAGCAAAGTTGGCCATGTGGGATCCAGCTGCCTTAACCTCTATGCCACGACCTGGCTCCCACCAGGCTTCCTTAATAGTTTTGAGGGGAGGGGTGCCAGGACCTCTTCAAACACACAGGTTGTTTCCATGTACACCTGATTTCTCTTAGCTTCCATCAGAGCCCCCAGGATTCCCAGAGGCTGCTCTACATGCCTTCCAGTGGAATCTCGTGCCTTCTCTTGGTTTCAAACGCCACCTGGTCTGATGGCAGTACCCAGCCAGACCCCTCTACTGTGTCTCAGGATTAGTCAGTGCCTGCCCTGGATGTTCTTGCTAAGGTCAGTGGGTGGCCAAGTCTGAAGTCTGTTCCTTGAGGGCAGGACCACTGGTGACTTCTCCTCTCCTACATGGGAGTGCTCAGCAAATACATGAGTAAGTAAGTTCTGTCTGCTGACTTTCTGGCTAAGTTAGTGGAAACATTCTAGGGATTAACACCAAGCTTATTCTTCCTTTTTTTTTTGTGGAGAGGTTTTTGCTATAGGGCGTGTGCGCTCGCCAGACAGAGAGAGAGAGACAGAGAGACAGAAAGCGAGAAATCGCCCCCCAGGGGCATGGCCATGCCACAATCCCTTCTCCTCCATTCTCCTCTCAGGATCTTGGGCACATCCGCACATGCGCCCGACGTGAGTTTAAGCCACCGGGTCCGGAACTCGAACTGCGGTCAGCTACGTGGCAGTCCCGCGACATAGCCATTACGCTAACTGCTGGTTTCTATTCTTCCATATTTTAAGGCTGCGTGAGTCAGCTTTTCTGAGTAAAACAGCAAACAATGTTTCTGAACCCCTGACTAATAAGGGCTGGAAAGAACTCATATTTGAGAGACTCCTTTTCTGGCCCTAGAGGCTGATGGAGAAGATCTACCCAGCTTTCCTCTCTCCTTAGACCTGATGAAAATCATAGTAAAGAAGTTAAAATGAGGATGGGAGAGGCCCTGGAGAGACACATTTATTTGTTTTTATTTATTTATTTATTTTACATTCAATCACTGTATCTCTTTCAACTTGGAAAATGAATTTTCCCAGCATGAATATACTATGTGTTAGTCCAAAGATATTAGCATATACATCATCATCAAATGATAACTTCATTGCTGGGGAAGCACATTTTAATCTGTTCCTGGGCTACACAGGGGTGTGTGGGGGGAGTGCTAGTTAATCTGACACAGCAGGGAAAGCCCACCTGGCTAGGGAGCACTGGCTAGGGAGCGCTGCCTGGCCAGGGACTAGCTGCAACTGTGATGATGAGTGGCCAGGAGAGGTGGGTGGAAATGGGGTCAGACCAGGTTTGCACAGTCTGGACAAGCCCCACCCATGGCCACATACACAGAACAGCTGGCAGCAAGTTGCTCGTCCAAGGAGACAAGAAAGATGCTCTTGGGCTGTCTACCCCCTTGCCCCCATATTGTAGCTTTTAGTGACAGTTGCTGCTTTGCCACTCAGCATCTGTTTTTCTTTATTCTGGCTAGAGAATGTCATGTGTCCTCCAGGGAACCAGCCCTCTCTTAGTTTGGCCCCTGGGGTCTGACTGTGCCTGTCCCTGCATCTGGCCACGGGAGGTGCTGCTCAAGACAGCCATGTGATTGGTTCTGACCACCCGCAGAGGTGAGCCCGCTTTCCAGCAGAGACCCAGGACTGCACTGTGTGCTGTGGGAGAGGTTTCTATGGCTCTGGAGGCTTAGGCTGTGTGTGGAGCCTGGAGTCAGCACACCTGTGTGCCTGGACCAGCTCGGCATGAACATGTTCTTTTGAGTGGGGAAGGCTGTGCATTTCTGCATGTGTCTGCAGGCCACATATTTTCATCACATGTTTTCAGACTGGCTGCTCTCCATACCTGTGGCCAGGGCCAAGCAAAGAAAAGAGGTGGTCCTGGGGCCGTGGATTGTGTACTCACCTAAATTTATGTTGAAACTTGATACGTGATGTGGCAGTATTGGGAGGTGGGGCCTAGTGGGAGGTGTTTGGGACATAGAGACAGATCCCTCATAAGTAAAGACCATCACTCTGGAGGGAGTGAGTTCTCCCTAATTTGTTCCTGGTAAGAATGATTTATCATAAAGCAAGACGGCTGCCTTCAGGTCTTTCTCTTTTTTTTTTTTTTTTGGAGAGGTTTTCAATATAGGGCGCGTGCGCTCGCCAGACAGACAGAGAGAGACATAGAGACAGAAAGCGAGAAATCACCCCCCAGGGGGGATGGTCACGCCTCAATCCCTTCTCCTCCATTCTCCTCTCGGGATCTTGGGCACGCACGCACACGCGCCCGGCGTGAGTTTTAAGCCACCGGGTCCAGGACACGAACCAC